TTGTCACAAAGACTGCGTGCACGATTGCACCGATATTCGTTGAATAATGGGTTGCTATGTTGTAGCACCGATTCAACGTATACACCACAAATTGTGGTTCCTCATGATGAGAATTTAATTTATCGCATCCTCTATGAGGCTCACAACACGCCACTCAATGGTCATCTAGGACGTGAGAAAACGTACAAATTTGTGAGTTACCACTATTGGTGACTGAAGTTGTACAAATGGACGAGCACCTATGTGCGCACGTGTGAGACGTTTCAACGGGTGAAACCCTCTCCAAATGCGGCTGCGCCGCTGACCAGCTTACCGTTACCCACTGGGTGCTGGCAGTCGATGCGTTTGGATTTTGTATTTGGCCTGCCAAAATATTTGGCGGGCAACACGGGTGTCGTGGTATTCGTCGACCATTTGAGCAAGATGGCTCATTTGACAGCGGTGCAAGACACCATCGACGGAGTCGGTACAGCAACGCTGTTCGTGGATCTTTTCGTCAACACGGACTCCCAGAGTCGATTGTCTATGAGAGAAACCCCCGTTTCACGGGAAAATTTTGGTCGACTATTTTCAAGGTGCTCGAAACCAAGTCAAATATGTCGACAGCGGATTATCCCCAGACCGATAGTCAAACTGAAAGGGTAAATCGCGTCATCAAAGATGTTTTTCGCAGTGCCTGCGCTGAGACGCCGAGGCGCTGGAGCTACTCGTAGAGTTTGCACTAAACAATACAGTGCATTCGTCTACCGGCTACTCGCCGTTCAACGTGAATGGGCTGATTCACCCTCGCGTCCTGCTGACGCCGCCATCCCATGGCTCAGGGCTTGGTGGGGAGGGAAAAACGGAAGGCTCGATGATGTCAGCCCCCTCACTATCCGCAAAGAAGTCGATGACTTCTTGTCTACCTTACCTCTTTGGCTATTGCTGGGAAGCGCGGGGCGTCCTGATCTTTCTGATCAAAAGCGTCCACGGCGTCTGGGCAATCTTGCCGAAGTGGCGTCTTAAACTCCCAAGGGTTTTCGGAGTCGGGATATCCCCGCCAATTCGCCAGATATTGGGTCTGGCCTTGGTGATGACGTCGACCTACTAGATGTCCACGTGATAGTGGACGTCTCCGTTCTCATCGAGAAAAGTCGGTGGTGGGCGGTGACGATCGGGTAGGCCGCCGACCGGTGGTTCATTATGCTCTAGGTGCTCTTGACAACGATGTCCGTCGTAAGCGGAGCTCCCCTGAGCGTCATACTAAAGTAGCATATCGCTGTGCGGACGCTTTTGAAGATTTGGAGCGCGTCGTGCGCCAGCTGCCTTACCTTGACGACAACCGCGCTTTAACGGAGCGACTCCAGGCCGTGGAGCAGGCGAACGCGTCGCTGCGTGCGACGGCGGAGAGCTTAGCGCCATTGGAAACTGGGGTTGTTGCACTCCGTTCTAAGAACGAGTTGCTAGCTCAACTTCTGGGTGGCTGTGGGCCCGTCGGATCTGCTTAAGCGCCAACGCTTCCGCGTTTACTTGG